TCAAGTAAAACTTTTAAGATTATACAAACCTAAATAATGATCTTGATTAAGGAGGGGAGAGGAAAATGCACCCCTTCTCCAAGTAATGGTTTGAGGATTTCTCCTTGGCTGCTAAGGGTTTGTGTTGGGTAAAGAAACGCTCCTAACAAACCAGCATTCTTTTCCACATGATCAGAGCTAACTGGCCCCCCTGCAGGCAAAGTGACCAATCGAATCAGCTTCAGATGAAAACCAACCCCCCTGCATTATAAACAGAGGAAGGAGACATACAAACCCCCTTTTTTCCCCCTCCTTTTTATTTTCTTTATTTTTTAAAAGGAGATCTCTACCAACCATTTGTAGGAAGTTTCTTGCCAGTGCTGGCCCAGTCCCTTCTCCGGAGCCCAGGTGTTCCCCTTCTCCTGCATACAGGCAAAGCCTTCAAAGACTGGTAAGTACACAACTTTTTTTTTCCTATCATATATTTAGAATTTACTCTGTCATTGCATAATGAAAGAAACTGAAGTTGCTTCTCAGGGCACAGTTTTATTTCTAAGACTTGCCAAATTAAGTATCAAAAAAAAATCTACTGAAAAAGAAAAAACTCTAAGATGACCACGGACATAACAGCACACAGCAAAACCAAAGTCACCATGCAATGCTCTTTCAGAAGGCTTTCAAGATGAGAAGGATTGGTAACACTCTGCACTGCTCTGCCAACAAGGGAGCATTGCAGCCTACTGCTAAGGTAGGCAGGTGTTATGCAGACAAGTGATAGGGGAACATCTTCCTCCTCTTCTTGCTGTGTTCAGCAACTCAGCATTTAACTGCAGTTCCATCATAAATTAAAAAAAAAATAAGCTCCATCTATTCAAGCCCACTTTTTTGATTTCTAATTACATCTCATGCCTTTGATCACTTCTAGTCGCTGCATTCTGACTGTGCTTGTGAACATGGTGCTAGCACTGCTGCTTAGGGAACCACATATGAGCAAGTATGAATTCCCAAGTCTTAGAGACTCAGTTGTTCTAGACAAGCCATCGGAAAGTCCACATCACATAGTGCAGGACTGCTCTTCAAAACCAGCTAGCTCCACAAAAATGAACAGCTGACTTCTACAGCCTTGCATCAAGTAACATCCTCACTCAACTCTAAACTTACTCTATTATTGTCATTTTGTATTAAGTATTCTTGGTGAAGGATTCAATATATATTAGCATTTTAAAACCATAAAAGTGTTTAACCAGAATAGTTTCAAGTTCTTCTGCTTTTCTAAAGGTGGCCAGACTAGTTGGCCCAATGTTTAGATGCTACTTCAAAATAATTAGGGTTTGAACATGCTATGTGAAAAAACATTATATAAATTGTACATTACAGATCTTCCCAAAAATCAAGTCTTTAGGAAGTGTTCCTTTCTGTGCCATAAAGGCATACTCTACTCACCCATCTCATCCTTTTTTTTTTTTAGTGCATTCTGCAGTAAACAGTCACAGAATGTCATAAGAACAAGCTCTCACATCCAATACTTTGTGGTATTTGTTTTGAAAAGCATGACTTGGGCTCAGCAAATTGAAGTTCGCATTTTTACTACTTCTTTATACATGTATCAAGTCCTGAAAATTTGCCTTAATTCTGTAAACCGCTTGGAAAAAAAGATTGTCACAAACTACTCTCATTCATCGAAATGAAGCATAAGCTACAAAACCTAAAGGACAAACATGTTTGAAATATTAACTATCCTTCTAACAGCTGCAGCATAAACTTTCAATTAAAGCGGTTGTACTAACTGAATTTCCTCCTATTTTTCTAAGATTGTTCCCTAATGCAAACCGTATGATCCAGTCATGTTGTCAATACTGGGAAAAAAACTAACAAACAAACAACTTTTCCTCATGTTAATATCAAAGCATCAAGGATTGCCAACCAATGGAAAAACAGTAATACTGAGATTTTAATAGCATCAAAGTGCCTTAAACTGGTAAACTTAAGTTTGTTCCTGTTGCAAAATTCAGAGGCAGTAACGCATCTGAATGATCAAAGCTTACAGCAAGCAACTAGATGTTTAAATCTGAAACAAGCACAAGATTACCTGAACCCAGGTCAAGTAAAGAGGGAACATGCACACTCTCGGAAGGGGCATGCCAGTATCACTTGAGTCCTAGTAAATCTTCAAGTTCTGCTACACTTGAAAGCAGGTTTTACAGTTACTCTCAGCCAAGAGCAGGTCCTCTTCACTGCTTTGCTGTTGTAATGGAGCAGCACACTGCCCCAAATCCCTTCCATCATCAATTGGAAGAGATTTGGTGAAAAGTGGAAGTTGGGCAGGTATGGTAACACTGTAAAAGTCTCTCCTGGACAAAGCTCCACATAGAGGCATTCAGGCTCCTTTAAAGGGTTGCCTGTGTAATAGGTGTACCAAGATAAAATCAGGCTCAAAGTGTCACTTTTCAGTGCCTTCAACTGGGAAGGCAAACAAAGAAAAATGAAGACTGCTACAAATGAGTCCCCACCAATCCTACTGGAATTGTAACACCTGAACTCCTGCTGTCAAGAGAAAGGCTAAATAAGAGATGCTTATAAGATGAGGAAAGCATTGCAGTAGAATAAAGCCACAATAATACTTCAAAAGAAGTGTCACAACACAGACGATCTCAATAAGAAAAGTGAAGTGCAGGAGGACAGGTCTGTTGGATCACAAATTTCAGAAATGCGAACAACATTATAGAGCTGTAAGACGAGATTATTATTACATATAAATCAGTGGCATGTCAAGTCAGTTTAGAACCTGTCTAACTGCTACGTGAAACTGTAGTACTCACCTTATCTTGATCTGTCTTACAAGATTGCATAAAAAATCCAGAATGAGGAACGTCGGTAGTAAAGTAAGAGGTTTAAAAACAAAACCAACTAAAAGAATTGCCAAACACCCTAGAGTTAGTGATAACCACTGATTTTTCAAAAGACTAGAAATTTTAGAAAGGATTAGCAACACTGAATCCAAGTTAAAACACTGGTCAGCAGGTGAAGAGAAGTTTAGACATATTTAACAGTTCCTGTCTTTCCACTGAGGGGTTATCAGAAGGAACAACCCAAAGTCACAATTTCACAAGCCAGCAACAAGGAAAAGCCAAGCCAGACAAATAGCACAACATTAAGGTTAAAAGATGACATTAAAGAAACTTAGATTGGAAATTCTACACATTTAGCAGTGAAAATGCATTACCCAACAAACACTGCAGAAGTCAAGGTTGCCTATCTTTCCTAAAACATACACGCTTTCAAACTGGGATTGATATGGGGATATCAAGGAGTATGCTGTGCAGTGGACTGGATCAGACCAGGTGTTCCAAACTGTACCTCCCAATTTTATTCATCAGTATTGGAGGAGAGGATATTTAAATTTTTGACTACAATGAACAAGCAATAAAGTATTCAGAAAACTGTAATTCTATTTTAAATTTGAAGTCACATTTACTATTAAGTTGACTGTTTTTGCAAATTCAGAGGTCTGATCACGCAGCCTGAGCAAGCTATTTCCCAAAAGGCAGCTGTTCTTCCACCTTTTGTTCTGAACCAACTGCATTGCTCTTGGAGCCTCTTTGCAGTTCCTTAGCAATTTTTCACCCCAAGAAGTTCAGACTTGTGGTCCTTCAAGTCATTTACAACTTTTGCAAAAAAACAAGAACAATTTCTGAAGCAAAGCTTCCAATATTATCGCTGCCATCTCATCAGCTACCTAGTATTTTAAGCAGTCCTAAGCAAGAAAAATCAGAGGCCTGTATCAAATGAGGCCTGAGCAGTTACCTGGTTAACTTCACGGGCAATGCCCCTGCTCAGAGTTTAAAGGAGCATCAAGAAGGGACCACTGTAAAATGCAGTGCTAGAGACTAGCAGAGGTTCTCTTTCCCAAGTACCTTTGAAATATCAGTAATCGATCTTCCTCCACAGAAAACATCCTAGAAAGACTGATTATGAAGACTGACTAGAGTTTTTTTTAGAGCTTTAAGTGAACATTAAGTGATTAACCACCACCCTAGAAAGCTCTTTAATCAACAAAATTGAGACACTATGATACTGACAGCATTTTGCTGAGAGCGAAGGCTGCTGCTTTTGAGTACGTTACCTTAATATGGATACGTGGAAGATCTGAGGCGTAGCCAAGGAAACATATTACATTAAGTATGTTTTTCTTTTCCTCTTAACCTATTTAACACTGTAAACGAGGATTCTGTCAGCAACCAGTCAGTACCAGATTCACATTATCTTTGTGTATGTTTTACAAGCCCAAATTACACGGAGGCTATGAAGCAGATGCTGCCCTTCAAAATACCATGAGAATTTACACAGACTAATTTTTTTTTTTTTTCCAAGAACGTATGAGGTTGCACCCAGAGGCATTTTGTTCTGCAAGTGTTCTCCTCTATTCAAATAAGGGAGTGCTTCTTGTAAGCACTGATCACTCTAAGATAAAACCAAGGCACTGCCCGCAGTTCATTCCACACATGGTCCCCACCACACTTCTTATTTAAAGACAACCATTTTCCAGCTCCTTCAAGGCAGTGCTCTTCTATATCTTAGCATTAGGACTGTGCTTTACAGCCAAGTCACTAATCTTCTGGTACATGAAACATTTAAAGTTGTAGTCATGCTACTGTAAATTTCATAGCAATGCAGCAAGACTCTAAGTTAGTTATTTAGAGAGCTATAGATTGACTACACCACAGTTCAAATGCAAGAGAATGTGGGGGGGAAGAGATGGGTTGTATGCTATGGACTATAGACAGAATACACACAGAAAGGAAAGTGGAAAAAATATCAGATTCCACTCAGGCCATCAGCTACCCTAACTCCCTTGACTACAGCATGGATAGTAGAAATATTTGAATGACTTTGAGAACCTACAGAAGGGAAAAAATGATATTATAAAAAGTAGTTGTGATGGTGATCCTCATACTTCGGTATGCATTAAGCATAAGTAGAAGCCAAAGAATGTTTTATAGTTACTTAAGTTTATTATCAAGATGAAGTACGCAGTAACGAAAACCACTGGTTTACAGGATCAAAGAACACATGACAGATGTGGAGGAATTTCTTGGAAAGTCTTTTCCAACCTTAATGAATCTATGGAGGTTGGATGTGGTGCTTAAGGACATGGTTTAGTGAGTGGTATCAGCGGTAGGGGGATCACTGGACCAGATGATCTTGGAGGTCTTTTCCAACCTCTATAATTCTATGTCATGTTATACCTTTCCGCAACTCATTCTGAAATTCAGGATATTAAAATCTTATATTTCAACATAAAACTAAGATGGCATTCTTGAGTTGGGGGTGAATCCAATTCCTCTAGCCCGTATGTACTACACACTGAGATGGCTGCAATTCAGAAAAAGGTCAAAATTGATGAGAGATGTACAAATTTGATTAAACATACTACGTAAAACTATGACTTCCAGAACTTACATATGTTTTAAAAATCCTCTTCTATTCTGTCAACAATCATCCTCACAGCCATTTTTAAGTAGGTCATGCACATTATGTCTATTTTATATGGACCTGTATTTATTTTAATTGTACCATGTGAACATTAAATATTTAGTATTTATGAAATTTATGGATTTGGGTGGCCAGTGTCTTTTCAAAGACACGCAGCATCTCTGACGCGTTTGCTAAGTTTTGAGATACAAAATTAAACTATGAAGCCTAACACATAACATATGCAAGCATCCATTTTGCTTCCCAAATATCCAATTCTACTTTCACCCCCCTAATGCCCATACAACTGCTATCATATTTTCCTTTCCTATTTGGACACAAAAATATACTGCCTTGACAGACTAAGTTTCAAAGTATATCAGTGCATTGGTTTCCTGTTCCTTCTATCCTCTGCTCCCAGAAATTAACTCAAGGCTCACAGAAACTGCTATGCCTTGAATGCTGTAATTCTACTTACTGGTTACAGACAGCAGTCATTTCTTGAGCTAGAAAAGTCTGAAAGGAAATCTGTTTTGGTAGAAGATTGGTAAATTACAGCATCCCCTAAAACGCATAGTCATGTTAGAAAATAGCTATCAACATTTTCATAGTAGTATTGTTAATAGTATTCATAATAGTATTGGTAAACTACTATACTCTGCTTTAGTTACAAAAATTAAACTGATCATTACAGAGCTGAACCAGTAAAAGACAGATCAATTACTTCTCAAATACTACGTGCCTAACTCCTTCCCCTCCTCCAAATAGTTAAAGCACGTGACTCAAATATAAATTTAGGAAGGTAAAGTATGCAAGTTTTATATAAATGACTAAGCAGGGAAAATTTGAAAAGTAGTCAGATTTTTAAACTTAATCTTTTTTAGCAAAGTATTACCACAAACACTGGTAAATTCCACTCCAAGCTCCTGATTTAATCTTCTCCGGATTGCAATGTATAAGCCCTCCTTTGTTGGCTGCGGTATTTCAACCCCTGCTGATGTGTCAAAAACTGTGAACATTAGGCAAAATACAAATAGGCTGCATTCTATCTGACTATTTTCCTTTTTTCTCTTTTCCAGAAGATGAGAACAGATATGATAGAGAGCAATAACACCAAATCCAGTGCTCCCCTCCTGACCCAAAGATACCTGAGGATGGTCACAAAGGATGGACACAGCACACTCCAGATGGACGGTGCCCAAGGAAAAGGTCTGGCATACCTCCGAGATGCATGGGGAATATTAATGGACATGCGCTGGAGATGGATGATGCTTGTCTTTTCCGCTTCTTTTGTCATTCACTGGCTAGTCTTTGCAGTGCTTTGGTATGTGCTAGCCGAGATGAATGGGGACCTGGAGCTGGACCATGATTCTCCACCTGACAACCACACCATATGTGTCAAGTACATCACCAGTTTTACAGCTGCTTTCTCTTTCTCACTGGAGACACAACTCACTATTGGTTACGGCACTATGTTCCCAAGCGGGGACTGTCCTAGTGCTATTGCCCTGCTTGCAATACAGATGGTCCTGGGGCTCATGCTGGAAGCCTTCATCACAGGTAACCTTTCACATTCAATCTTTAGCTACAGTAGGTTTAATGAAGCCATTAAATAAATGAAGTCAGAAATAAATATCAGTGATATTTAAGAGAAAAAAGAGTTAACATCAGTCACTAAAAGAATAATGAGATTTTAGCTATGTAATGTTAAATTTCTTTCGCTAAAAGGCATAAATTAGGTGGTGACAAGATTTGTATTAGAAAGTTCCACTATTCGTTGCTTGATACTTCTGGTAGCTCCCTACTTTATACTCTTAAATAACTTCTTATACCATGATCTTTCCATAAGGAGAGATTCTTTTCAATGGAATTAAAATGTATAAAGTCAATTTATTTTGATTAATAGTTATAAAGTTTATTTTTGTCTAGGTGAAACATTTTTGATGAGATTTTTATTCATCTTTAACTCAATATCCCCCAGTACCCAATGTAACAAAAAAAATTAGGGTGACAGTCATTTGGAGATATTTTAAGTTTCTTAAAATAATTTTCAGGTTTAAAGTATTTCAGTAAATTTAAATAAACAGGTTTACTGCACATGAAGAAATATCTTCTCCAGTGGTAGCTTGCCAAGATTACGTACTCTTGCTAATTACAGTACATAGTAAGAGAACAGCCTACGTTTTCAAACAACGCAGGCTGACACTAGGAAGACCACATGCACTCAAGTCTGTTTTTGATTCTTTGGACTGCTTTACCTAGCTCAGTGACTGTAGCCAACCAACCCAGGCACAATGCTCATATTCACCACGTTCCTTCCCACAACACAGGTGCTTTTGTGGCAAAGATTGCCCGACCGAAGAACCGGGCATTCTCCATCCGTTTCACCCGCTCTGCTGTGGTGACACACATGGAGGGGAAGCCATACCTCATGTTCCAGGTGGCCAACACACGCTCCAGCCCGCTCATGAGTGTCCAGATTTCTGCTATTCTTTACCAAGAACAGGAGAATGGTCAGCTGCACCAAACTAGCGTTGACTTCCACCTAGACAGCATTACTTCAGGCGAGTGCCCTTTTTTCACCTTTCCACTGACCTACTATCACTCTATCACTCCATCCAGCCCACTGGCTGCTCTCCTCCAAAGAGAGGCTGCTCACCATTTCGAGCTGGTCATCTTTCTGTCAGCTGTGCAGGAGGGTACTGGAGAAATGTGTCAAAGGAGGACATCCTACCTCCCCTCAGAAATCATGCTTTACCATCGTTTTGCTGCTGTGCTAGCCCGCAGTGCCAAAGGTGAGTATCAGATCAAGATGGAGAATTTTGACAAGACGATTCCTGAGTTCCCAGCTGTGGCTGACTCGAAGAGTCCCAAAAGGACTGCCAAGGAGATCCGCATCAACGGACAGCATGCTGACAGCTTCCAGCTCTCCGAGACTGGCCTCACAGAATAGATCGAACAGACTTTGAACTTTGTGCTTTTTTTAATTATTACATTAAAATTTCAGGTCCCATTTACAACCATCTGTCCTTGGCTGCCACCATCTAGTGATCTTTCTCATACTCCCATCATTCTAATTACAAGGTGATATGAAGAGCGAAGAGAACTGGTATGCCCATGTAAGCTGGGGAGAGACTGGATTAACCACCTAGAACAAAGTCAGGTACAAGAATCACAGTACTAATTCTGGGAAATTAAAAGAGCTACCTGCTGAATTCACCAGACTATGATTAAAGCTGCACTGACCCTGAAAAGGAGAGACCTCCAAAGCTAAACAAAGTCCTAATTGAATAGCTTGTGACAAGAAGGACAGCAACAACAGAAAAAAAAATCATCACTCAAAACCAATACGGGGTCATTCAGTAAATACGTTAGTACTGGGATAAGCAATTCAGTTGATCTGAGACCCTAATTTTTCTGTTCTCTTAACTCTTTGGGGATACGGGGTTATATCAGTTTTCAGATGGCTGAACTGACTCTTCAAAAGTACTGCCAATCTCTCGTGGCAGTGAAAAGCACCCCTGCTGTGCTTGCTTGTTAGTTAAAATTGTAAATACTAACTGTAGTTCTTCATTCTTTCAAGTAAGAGGAGAACACATCATCTCAAGATAGGTCTATGAAGACGCTATTAAAATATTGTGATGCATATGGCAAATGCTGCAGTGAATTTATTTTTGTTTTTGCATTTGGAAACAACGAGTAAGTTATTTAGGAGTGGAAAATGAACTTTCTAAATGAGTTAATGTGCTCTTTTGAAAAGACAATACATTTCATGCGTTCTCAGCTTTGCGCAGCTTGTCTCAAGTAGGTGTGACCCAGGAGGATACACTACGCCCATATGAGAAAGAGAACTGCATCCATTTATATTCCATGCTTTCATCAATATCTGCCTGTACACACAGCACAGAAGTATTTACAAAGACACTTGAATCAATTTTAAAATAAAAAATTAAAACAAACTGTACATGAGACTTCCGTATTTAAGTGCCTCATAAGTCTACTGCAATTAAGACAATCTCAATAATTAAGACATTCTAAATAATTTCAAAAGTGAAAGCATGAATAATTATCCATCATTCTGTTTACAAACTCTTAACAAAAGCAATGTCTATTATGATTTTTCATATCTGAACAGTCAAATTACAAAAAAAGTAAAAGTTGTCTTTCAAAGGTAAAAGATACTTCTCAGAAACAAAGATGGCACAGATAACTTTCATTTACGAATCAAATACTCTACCAAACATGTTTCCTTTTTACTTAATCGGTCAACAGCAGGAAAAAAAAAAAAAGGTCTGAAGCCATCTGTTGAGATACCATTAACTCAATTCTTCAAGCCTCAAAATTCATTTAATTAAAGTGTATTCATAATGCAAAATAGCTGAGCAGAAAGCCACTTGGTCTTAGGGTCCACACTTCCAAATCTCTATGATGTGATGACTGAAAATACAGCACAACTCTTCTGTGCCAGCAACTGCTGTAGTCACTACAGAGTCACCCTCTTCGGAAATGGAAACAGCAGCCCCAGAGAGCCATTTCACAAAGGGGAAAGAAAGAGGCAGAGGGCCGGTGTCTTCAGTGCAATTCCACTCTTGTCCCAGATTTCTTTAAAAATCGCCCGCCTACATTCAAGATCTTAAGAGAGATCTGGTATCTGGTTTTGTTACAGATATTCTCAAAGTCTTTCTTGGAATTTAGTTTTTATATAGAAGTACTCACAAACACTGTGGAGCTTAGAGAGCAACATCATCATTTTACATTGCCTTCATCCCTACTTTGCAATTGCTGACCCCACATACAATTTAAAGATCTTTCCTTCCACCCTTCTATCAGCACCAGTAACTGTCAAGTATTTCCTAACAGCATTTTCTTCATGTCTCATGTCTTCTGCCAATATAATGCATTAAGAAAAGTCTTACAAATTAAGAACCAGGTACAAGAGCAGAAGAACAGATTTGTGTCAGTATTACTTCCATGAGTTAACGAAGAGCAGTGTTTTGTGTGATGTATTTTTTCTGTATCTCACATACTCCAGTCTCAGACAAACCAATTATTCTAAAATTCAGATGTATAATCCCAATAGAGCGGCACAGTAATCTCACCTTCTAGAACCAAAGTTATAAAAAACTACTTCTAATTTCAGTTAGCATCTAATCACCAAGTGTAGGTTGCTTAGGTCAATTTCTAAATTGACTTGAGAATTCCAAGTTGTCCCGTTCAAATCACTTTCTATTTATAGATCTGGTTTAAAAGTGGCTACAGCAGCACATATAAAGAAAAAAACTGTTTAGTATATGCTAGATGCAGTGTTACATTACACTTTGGAATGTAGAGCTGAAGAATATTACTGAAGCAAGTTAGACATACAGACAACTGTAGCTATTTCAGAATAGCTACAAAACAAGAGGTACACAGATCACCACTATTACTTTTACAATTCTGCTGATTTTGTGAGCCGTGGATGTCTCATGAAATATTGGAAATACGCTATGGCCCAGATCAAAATACAAACCTAGAAGAATTGTTGATTAGCTCTGATGCAACAAAGTCACATTCTATACTTGCACTAACACTGAGAGCCCTCTGATGATTAACCTTCTTAGCAGATACCTCTTGCTAGCAAGGTAGGGAAGAAAAATAAGTTGAAGGAAGTGAAAGCATGGTTCAAAGCAATTCAACATTCTTTGTATCTTCACTTGAGCACTCTTTTTATATTCAAGCTTCTTTAACCTAACCAGTAAATACATATTAAACAGAATTCAATTGGGTTTCACAAATGAATTTCTAAATGTCTAGTTTAATCTACATTACAATTATTTATTACCAGTGTGTAATTGCTGGTAACTAATCAAATCCCCTCAGCTACTAAGCTGGTATTAGTCAAGAGGTTGCACAGAAAATTAAGCAGCTTTTGTGCAGCTCTAAAAGACAGCTGTGATCAAGAAAACAACTTGCTTATTTTCTTTGCTAATGGCCTCAGCCTTCCAGAAGCAATTTGCGTTGTCAATGAAGGTTGACAGAACTGTGACAACCTGCAACAGAAACTCTCAAATACTTCATGCATCTTTAATTTTCATACTGAAACCTGGAACAGATATTGCTGTTTATGTTGAGAATCACGTACACGTGAATTTGAAAAGTGTTACGAGTGCTGAAAAGCCTTTTAAGAACAGTATATTCATCACATTTGGAAAGCAGTTCTCCACTGCAGGTCTACTACTTTTTTAATCTGATGATTTTTAATCGAAGGGTTCTTACACTGTCATTTATCATGAATGCCCAGAAATGTTTCATATTTGATCTGTTATTTTGTGATCACCCTGAACAAAGAATGAGAAGTTGACAACCCAGTAATTTATGTAATTTGAGGCTGATCTAAGGCCCTACAAAAGAGCAATGAAAAACTGAAGCACAGCAAAACTGGTAAACGGCGTGTCAATTCACTCTATCTTTCTGCTTCAACTGCTGTATGAGTGGTCTACTAGTGCCTAGTATTAGCATGGGGGTTTTTGGCACATCAGCATCCCTACTTCTTGCTCTAAGTATTTTGTGATTGGAAAGCATTTACATAACAGTGTTTATTAATCAAGGCTTGAGTCAAAACAGACCAACACCTTCTGTTAATATTTGTCTTCTCCACCATATTTCTCTTTGAAGGTAAAGAGGAGAGAAACAGTCCTCCCACTTCTGTGGCCTTTAATCTCAAACACAGCAATAGAGAAACATACATTAATGACTAGTTAAAGTAATTATTTTACACTAAGACCTCAAAAAGATTGTCTCTTGCCTCTATCACACTGTGCTACAGAGATTTTGGCCAAATAAGATTAAACTAGAAGAGTAATAGAACAAGAGACTTAGAGGAGGAGCAATCAGGTACTACCGTTTCAAAACTTGCGAATAAGCAACCCATCCTTCTCATGCAAGAAAGCACAAGTGGATACCATCTTCAGAAAATTATTCACAGAACCTACATTTTAAGTCCTGATCACTAGCTGTTGTTACAACAGTAGGTGAAGCCTGAACGCCCCACGTTCAGGCACAAGTCAGCTTCAGTAAGGACAACTTGCACACTTGAAGTTCTCAATTTCAGTTGAGAGGTGCATCTCATCCTGAAGTGACAGACAGTATTTTCATCACAGTCTTAATCATAAATGTGGTGCATTGTTCAGCATGGATCTGGAAGTATTTATCACATGAGCAGAAAGGGGCTAAATAAATGAAACTCAATCTACTATGGTAGATATTTCTGCTGTTTCTACATTTGCCTTTCATTTAAAAAAAATGTTGTCCTCAAGTCTCAGCAGTACTTACCCCTCCCTCTTTTCCTTTTTCCTCCCCAAAAGGTCTCTGAATATAAATACATACTAAAAGACACACTTCACAACTGGCAATAAAAAAAGGAAATCTCAGAGCAATCTCATGTTATTTTAAGATTAACTTCTTTTAAGTAAAACAAAAGATGAGGAAAACTAGCAACATCTTAGTTTGTTTTTCAATTTGAAAACACAGGAAAAAAAGCATTCTTTAAAATTATCAAAAATCAACACATACATGGAGATAACATCAAATGGCTTTGAAAGCAAACATGGTAATAAGACACCTAAAGCATGGGCCACCATGATCATCTGGAAGATTAATGTAATTAAAAAAAATATTCTTCCAACAAAAAATACAGACTGCTGATCAGGAATTAAAACTCATTCCTATCAATTTCTAATTGCAAATGAATCTTTTTTGTCTTAAAACACAACCTGCTACCATCTTTCATGACCTATGCTTTACTAACACATGCACTACAGAAGCTGTTTAGCCAGGACTCCTTCAGCAAAGCCTAAAGGACCCTGTGGGCAATAAAAAGCCAAGGCTACTAGCAAGCTTTCAGTAGTAGAAGAATTCTCACTAAGCACAGCTGCAGTACATGCATGTGGAAACCATCCACAGAGAAAGGGCAAGATCATACCAGAGAACCACCAATGCATGACCCCACGAAACAGAAGTCAGTGCACTTGTGCTGTATTCAGTTGACAAAGAACTTCCTTCT